TGTGTGTGTGTGTGTGTGTGTGTGTGTGTGTGTGTGTGTTTGGCGGGATTGTTCTGTTGTGCATAGGGTTGCTATGGGTCAGAACAGAAAAAGTTGAACCTAACAACAGCAAGAGCTATAGGCACAGCGAGTCCTATGTTCTCTACTGTTCTATTTGTCGGTATTTTTCTTGCAAGTAATAATTTGAGATCTCTTCCATGTTTTTCTTACAATCTATGATAAATCCAACATATGGGGATATGGTCACATGGTTGTTGGTGGTCACTGGGATTTAGCAGAGTTTTTTGTTTCCTCTGCATTTTGTTAATCTTCAATACTGTTTTACTCCTGGCAAGCCCTGGGTCAGTACTTATGGCTTAGATGATTGCTTGCAGGCTTTTATGATCTCATTAGTTATTCATTTCACTACAAGGTCCATCATGGTTTTTGCAAACTATGGCAAAATTGATTTGATTGAATTGGTACATGACACTATGGTTTTCAAAAGGAAGTAATAAGTGATGGACCATGTCTGGTTATATGTGAAAAGTATCTATATTAGTCTCTGCAGTAAACACACCACATATGTGCCTTGTATTTACATTTAACTATAAAATGTAACCCCATATTGCCAGTCAGTGTAGTGGCTTGTGTGTTTCTGGGTTGCTGGAAGCTATGTCACTGGTATTTCAAATATAAGCAGGGTGACACAAGGTGAATACGTTTCAGCAGAGCATCCAGACTAAGAATAGGCTACGAACATCTAAGGAATTAGCCACGGGAAACCTTAAGGATAGCATTGAAATATTTTCAGAGATTGAAAAACCCATGAATAGAAAACAAAATATTGTCAGAGATGGTGCCAGAAGATAAGCCACTCACAGAAGAAGGGACTCAAAATATGATGGAGAATGTGCTGCTTTCTCAAAGCAGAGCCACCATTATGATGTGGATGGAGTAACGCCCGTGGGAGTAAAGCCTGTGGGACTATGATCGTGCCAGATGATGGGCACCTCGGATTGCAAAACACTGGAAAAGAGATTGAAGAAGAGCTGCTTACTCAACAGAGAGATAACCATGATGTTATGAATGGAGTAAAGCCTGTGGGATCTCATTTTCTGACAGGACAAAACTCAACATGAGAAGAAACTGCTACAAAAATATGATCATCAGAATTTGGAATGTACAAGGAATGAATCTAGGAAAATTGGAAGTAACAAAAAGTGAAACAGAATTCATGGGTATTTGCCAATTTGAATTGGAAAACAATATGGTCAGTATGCCAGGCATGGCACAGTTAACTTCAATTATTATCAAAAAGGACATTTCTGTGATAGGATTATCGCTTTCTGCTTTCAGGGAAATACATTGAATATAAGTATTAAAAAATTATGCACCAATCCTGAAAAGTAGTGATGAAGAAATTGAAGAATACTACAAAAGTCTTCAGTCTGAAGTTGATCAAATATGGAATCAAGATACATTGATAATTATTGGGGATTAGAATGCAAAACTTGGAAACATAGAGGAAGGAACTGCAGTTGGAGAATATAGAGTGGGTAATAGAAAAAAACGTTGAAGATAGCTTGATAGAATCACCCACTTTTCTGTTGTCCATCCCAGGGAGGGTGTTATATAGGGATCCTTGTAATCTGTTTCACCTTTCTACCTCACCTTCCCTCCACCCTCCCAGTATTGCCACTCTCACCACTGGTCCTGAAGTGTTCATCTGTTCTGGATTCCCTGTGCTTCCAGTTACTATCTGTACCAGTGTACATCCTCTGGTCTTGCAGGATTTGTAAGGTAGAATTGGGATCATGATAGTTGGGAGGGAGGGGAGGAAGCATTTAAGAAGTAGAGGAAAGTTGTATGTTTCATCGTTGTTACACTGCATCCTGACTGGCTTGTCTTTTTCCAGTGACATTTCTGTAGGGGGATGTCCAGTTGCCTACAGATGTTCTTTGAGTCCCCACTCCACACTTCCCCTCATTCACAATGATATGATTTTTTGTTCATTGATACCTGATACCTGATCCCTTCGACACTTTGTGACCGCACAGGCTGGTGTGCTTCTTCTATGTGGGCTTTGGTGCTTCTGAGAGAGATGGCCACTTCAAGCCTTTAAGACCCCAGGCACTATATCTTTTGATAGCCGGGCACCATCAGCTTTATTCACCACATTTTCTTATGCACCCACTTTGTCTTCAGCGATTGTGTCAGGAAGGTGAGCATCATAGAATGCCTGCTGGAAGATTAGGGGTGAGTGGGGGGAGAAAGGGGGAATCTATCACCAAGATCAATCTAGAACCCCCGCCCAGGGGGGACAAATAATGGAAAAGTGGGTAAGGGGTGATGGAGGATGATGAAAGATATGGGAAAAAATAATCTATAACTTATCAAGGTTTCGTGAGGGAGGGGGGAGGGAGTGGGAAGAAATGGGGAGCTGATATAAGGGGCTCAATTAGGAAGAGACTGCTTTGAAAATGATGATGGTGGCATATGTGCAAATGTGCTTGACACATTGGAGGAATGTATGGATTATGATAAGAGATGTAAGAACCCCTAATAAAAGTATTTTGGAAGAAGTAAGGCCAGAGTGTTTCTTAGAGGCAAGGATAATGAGAATACTTCTGACATACTTGAGACATGGTTTCAGGAGAGAGTAATACTTGGAGAAGGATTATCATG